GAAATTTCCACTACATGCATCTGACGAAGTGGGTCTTTGCCTGCAAAAGCTTATGCTCCAATACGTCTGTTAGTCTATAAGGTGCCACAGGACTCCTTGTCGCTTTTGCAGATCCATACTAACACAGCTAGCCCTCTGATACTTAAGAGTCATGGCATTCAGATGCAGACCCTCCTAGACAACCAATATGGAAGCAGTCACGGAATTTGGCACAAGGCATGTTCTTTCATCATTAGGTATTTTGTTCTTCAGCTTCTATCTTGACTCATGTTCAACGCTGATCATTTTGCTGCGATGACTCTTCCCTGAAAAGTTGTCTTTGGAAAAAAAAAAACCTTTCTTCTCAAGTTTACTCAGCCACATTTGAAATAAATTGATTATTTAAAGAAATAAACATAAAAGTTAAATGTTCAGGAAAACTTTTTTTAAAAGCTTCATTTACCATTTTCATCTTATTTTCCCACATTGTTTGTAACCATCACAAAAAAGGGTCTATCATGCTAATACTATTTGACTTAAGATATGAACTGCAGAGGGAATAAACAGAACATGACATAGACTGTTGCTGACAGTGGATGCTAGGAACAAGAAGTGAATTTCACAGATCCCCTTTAAGGAAACCTTTGACAGTTCTTCAAAAATTGTGGTTAGTGCTGTTTTATTGGTTGTTTCTAGTTTAATGTGAAAAATGGAGGCTCAAATTCTGGTTCCAATGAAGTCCATGACATTGAATTAATGGATCAGGATTTAGCCCAGAATGTGTGTTTCTTGTAGTATTTCATAGAAGCAAGTAGGCATAGGCAGGTGTTACACTCCCTTACATTTTCCTTAGAAACAAAGAAACAAAATATTTTTTCTGCAGATCTCTCTTGCATCTGTGTGACAGCTGAAACAAGCCAGCACTATGCATTTCAAAATTATTTTTTCACAATTTATTTTTCTTAATTCATAATATTTTTGAGAGAGAGCGTCAATGAGCATTTTAGTTCACAGGTGCAGGTACAACATAAAATATATAATTTCATATAATGGCCATAGTAAATGCCACATTGCATTTATGTTCCATGAATACAAGTGGGTAGTCAGGCCCTTGCCAAACTCTGCAATTATGCTTAAACCCTCCTAACAGTATAGTTTATGGAAAAAGAGAATGACAAATCTGCATAAACTATAAAACTAAAGGCTCTAGTCTCATGATGCATTGAGAGGAATTAAACACCTGGCACTGCTTGGAAGAACATGTGAACAAGTAATTAATAAAAGTGAAATTCAGATCAAAATAAATCTGAGGGCGGTTAAGCAGCCTTTGCACCTGCTCATTCATTTTAGGACATCCTGAAAAGCTCATTGGCAAAAGTTGCAAATCTCCCTACTTTGTAGTTGAGGAGACACTCATGAAGGTTCCTCTTCCAGATGTTTACCTAGTAATGAGCAGCCTGTACTGGTTAAATAACAATTAGACATTGTCTCTGATGCACCTTGCCCATGACTTCATAGCTAGGGTGACCTGGTAAAATTGCTTGTATTAAATGAGTTCAATGGTGATCAAACAGAACAATGCAGTAAAAATATTAAAAGTAACGTCAAGTTGACTGAGCCCCTGTTAAAAAGAAATGCTGCGTACCTGGAGTCTCTGTACTTATCTTCTTATCTTTAAGGTTTGCACAGCCAAAGGTGGCACAGACACACTCCCATACACTTCTCTCACACAGGGAGGTGGGCGACTGACTGACCTAATCCAACATTCCTGCCCAGTGCATTCCTTCTGCCATGCCTGAACGTGTCAAGCAGCAGCAGCTTTTCAGCACTGGGAGGAAGGGAAAGGATGGGAGCTGCTTCCAGAGGAATAGGAATGGGGATGGGGTGACCTGTGTTTCCAGATGTCATCTCTTCCTTCCCCTTTCCCCCTGCACCTCTATGGCTAGAAGCAGCTTGTCCCTTCCTGCCCACACAGTGTAGAAAGTCAGCTAACACCTCCATGCTGCTGCTGGCCACCCACATAACCTAGCCCCCCTTCTTTCCCTGGCTATAGTACAGTCAGCCAGGGGTTAAGCCCAAAGGATGCACTGAGCACCAGGGCCCAGTGAAGCTAACTGCAGGGGCTTCAGCCCACCTGGCCAGAGAAGTGCCTCAGCAGGGGCGGGTGCCTATGGGACAAAGAAGCCCCATGCTCCCAGGGTACAGGACCTACGGCAGGGGGAAGAAGGGGGCAGAATATGTGCTAAGCCCCTGCCTGAGGATTCGCAGGATCAGGTCACAAATAGGCTGGAAATAGCTTCCTCCTCAGCACTTCAGAGCATAGGTGAGGGGCAGAGAGGCTTCCCGATGCCAGCACTGTGTGGAGCTTTAGCACATGCAGGGCTTGACTCCTCTTGGCCAACACCCCACGCCAGAGGGTCCTGAGCTTTCCCTTGGTGCCAGCCCAGCCAGAGGCAGTTGGGGAAGGAAGGCGCCTACCAGCAAACTGCTGGGTAAGTAGAATGATCCAGCAAGGGATTGGTTCTCTGCAAGGCACTGGGAGCAGGATGCACCCCGCTGGGGAGATATGGAGGAGCAGTGGGGATGAGGGTGCATATGAATGAGCACAGCGAAAGGGGAAGCATGAAAAGGGCTGACGGGTGGGCAGCAGAGGTGACATGTAACTGGCCACTGCCAGCCCACATTCACCAGCCTCCACAGCAAGCAGCCAGTGTTGGCTGGAAACAGGGCGCAAAACGTAGCAGCTATAGTATACAAGAGGGCTGGGATATGCAAGGGTCAGAGTCAGTGTTCTAGTGGTCCCTTCTGGCCTTAAAGTCTTCTAATTAATGAAACACTGAGTGCAACATAAGGAGAAGCCTCTGGGGCTTTACTGTGTAGCTAGCTTGATCCCCAGACTCAGCTGTCATTAAGGCTGTGTCCAGACTCAGGGGTTTTTTCGAAAAAAGTAGCCTTTTTTCAAAAAAACATCACCTGCGTCTAGACTGCAGCCGCGTTCTTTCGAAATTAAATCGAAAGAATGCAGCTTTTCTTTCGATGGTGGTAAACCTCATTTCACGAGGAAGAACGCCTTTTTTCGAAAGTGCTCTTTCGAAAAAAGGCATTCTTGAATGCCAACAGGGCTTTTTAGAAAGAGAGCATCCAGACTCACTCGTTGCTTTCTTTCGAAAAAGCGGCTTGCTTTTTCGAAAGTACTGCTTGCAGTCTAGATGCTCTTTTTCGAAAGAGGCTTTTTTGAAAGATACTTTCGAAAAAGCCTCTTTCGAAAGAGGCTTGCAGTCTAGACATAGCCTAAGTAGGCTAATCCAGAAGAAGCCACTCAGACATCCAAAGAGGCTGGCTAGGGTCAGGCCACCAGCCTCACAAGGGAGGGGGGTAGACGTGGCAGTGACATCACAAAGGCCTGTTTCAGGACCTTAGCCTACTGGTAGACAGTGGTGGGGAAGTGGCGACCACATAGGGTATGTCTACACTACCACCCTAGTTCGAACTAGGGTGGTTAATGTAGTAATACGAACTTGCAAATGAAGCCCAGGATTTGAATTTCCCAGGCTTCATTTGCGTGTTGCCGGGCACCGCCATTTTTAAATGTCCACTAGTGCGGACTCCGTGCCCGCGGCTACACGCGGCACGAAATAGGAAGCCTAGTCCGAACTATCTAGTTCGTGCCACGTGTAGCCGCAGGCACGGAGTCCGCACTAGCGGACATTTAAAAATGGCGGCGCCCTGCAACATGCAAATGCTCTTGCTTCTTTCCCCCCTTTTCCATTCCTCCTTGCCTCCACCAAGAGGAGGTGTGTGTTGAGGGAGGGAGGGGGAAGGGGGCAGGAGAGAGGGAGGGAAGTTGCTGTCACTGTGGGAGGTCCTCACAAAGAGGTGGGGCTAGAAAACTTCTTGGATACTGATCACCTTCGGTGATGACTTGGGCCATCCTTTTGCACTTCTGCTGAGACCCCTCCACCTCCCAACCCTCAGAGTCTCGATGCTCATTGGCTGCGTAGATGGCTATTGACAGGGAATACTCACGTTCTTTTGTTCTCTTTTAGGATCAAACAAATAAGTTACAAGTAATCATGTATTTGATTGCTTGTACTGCTTCTTTGCAATTATTGTCTCTGAACAGTTCCTGATTCTCTCTAATGTGCCATTTCTTCTCAAATACTTGCTGATTAATTACTATGAACAATTGTTGATCTGTAGCTCATTTGAGAGTACTTTATTCTGATCAATCAATGAGTCCCAAGGAGCTGGCTAGTGGCAAGAAATTAGCTTTGTAGGGGATGGGTGAGTGTGGCAGTGACATCACAAAGGCCTGTTTCAGGACTTCATCCCATTGGAGGACAGTGGTGGGTAAGTGATGACCTCACAGAGGGACCCTGGCAGCAGCCAGGCAGGATAGAGGTTCAAGGTGAGGCGGTTTCAGAGATAACCCCTTTATGGCTTTGTGGGAGGCTGTCCCAAAGAGGTGGGGCTGGAATAGTGCCCTAAAACTGTTCTCCTCGGGTGTGTCTAGACTACATGCCTCCTTCGACGGAGGCATGTAGATTAGCGAGATCGGGAGAGGGGAAAGAAGCCGCGACCGATCTGCCGACAAACAGCTGATCGGCAGATCGGGGCAGCCATTTAAATTTAAATGAAGCCGCGATTATTTTAATCGCGGCTTCATTTCCCTCCTCCGATCTCGCTAATCTACATGCCTCCGTCGAAGGAGGCATGTAGTCTAGACACACCCCTCTAGTGGTGACCTAGGCCATCCTTTGGGACATCTGCTAAGACCTCTTAGCCTCCCACTTCTCAGAGTCTTGATGCTGATTGGCCAAAGAGAGGGCTATTGACAGGGAGGAGATGTTTAGTGTAGACATACCCAAAGAGAGTAGGTGACTTGCTGGTGATCACATAAGAAGTCTGGCAGAGCAAGGAATTAAACTCAGGTATCTGAAGCTACTTCTAGACCTCAAGTTTCTTCCGAAAGAGAGTGCCAGTTTCCCAGCTGTGATCCCTGGCTACCCCTTCCTTTGCAGGCTCTTCACAAGGTCTTGTTTGACCTCAGGCACACCATGCTGAGGAATCTGGTGGCAGAGTCCCCAGACACAGACAGGCTCCAATATATCCTGAGGGTGAGCATGGTCAAGAGGGGCAGGGGGAGGTTTTACCTTAGAGCTGGGGAGAACTGGAAAGG